TCTCCGAGTCTGCCGACCGCCCCTCCGCGGACAGCCTCCTCCGAGCCGCCTCCGCCTCCTTTTTCCCCTGGTGAGCTTCGCCCCCTCCCTCTATCTCCCAGTATCTCTTTTTCTCGTTTTTGTTGGCTTCCGAGCCTTGGCCGCGAGCTCATGGGGCCATGGTCGCCGCCATGGCGGCCACCGCTAGCTTAGCCCCCCTTTCGGCCGCCACAAACGGCATGGCATGACTCCTCTTCTTCCCCCGAGCTCACGGGTGCCCTCGGTGGTCAATTTGGTGAACCGTAGGGTCTTAATCCGCTGATCGAAGTCCTTCGCGTCGCCGGCAATGGCGCCTGGCCACCGGTGACACTGTTCGGCCGGCCGACCCCCCCAGTCGATCCTAGCCGCCATCGCGAGATCAACGGCCAGAATAGAAGATACCCTTCATGGGTGATTTTGCATAAGAGCCCTGGACTTTTCTAAGTCTTAACCCGCAGCCCAAAACGTATTTCCTCGAATGCGCAATCTCGATTAGAAAGCGTAAACTCCACGGCTTAAGTCAAAAGTACGCTTTCAGTATTTACAGAAATGCCATTTGAACTGTTTCGCTTATAAAATTGTCGCTTTAGCTCGAATTGATCCATTCAAATCGCGTTAGCTTCGTAATTTCATAAGCTACATGTTGGAGCTACTGTTAGTCAAGTTTGGAACTTTTTAAATTCATGATTAGATTTAACTAAATATAGGGCTATAGGAAAACCCGCTTTAATCATAACTTTAGCATTTTAGCTCCGCTGTGAACTTCGCGTTGACGTGATCATAGCGAAACGTAGATTAGTTTTACGGACATTTTATCTTGATTTCAATACTGTTGGTGTACTGTTCTAATGATAGGAATGTTTGCTTTGCATGAATGCTTTTGGAATGTTGTATGTTGTTGCGTGTTGGTCGCGCTTTTAGACGGTGAGGAAAACGTTGGAGACCAAGAACTCTTCGACGACCAGCAGGACCAAAGACGAGTTTGTGAACCAAGACAAGTATAACATGGGCCTTCCTTGATGTCCTATTTCACTTTAATCAATTACTCATTTGCATATGTCTAATTTTGATACCCATAAGGACATCCTAGTGATTGTTATCCTGTTCCTTGTCTCCTATGGGTTAAATGCATATGGGTAGATTGCTAGTGCTCTAACTGAACTTGATATACATGTTGATGAATAATACTATGGAACAAAGTGAGTAACATGATTTATAACAACTGCTTCCATAGGGCGAAAAGTGCAAATGACCTTTGTTCATGTTGCTCCCGCCCTCCATAAGGACTTATCTGTCGGCAAAAAGCTGGGGGGTGACAATTAAAACCGGAGAGTCATATGGCTCTGACTTTAGCTCAGTAATAGGACCTTTTCTAGCTAGTTAGAGGTTACCTTTTTGGCGCAAATGGGGCTTGCCACGTTGGGTATAGGGGCTGCCTCTGTTCCTATGTGTATAGCCGCTGATGGATATGTGCCATAGGAAAGGGGGGTTCCTACATCTGCTGTCAAAGAAACCTAGCGGCCCTAACTTGTTAGGAAAACCTATGAAATGGCTTCATAGTGTACCCGCCTACTCACCTTGGAAGTGACATGGGAGTAATTAACCCGGGCATATGGGGATCACGACTCATGGTGAATGTGCACCACCTCTCAGAGGGATAACAAATCATATAATAACACCGTGTGCTCACGATTCTGAGCGGCCCGAAAACTCACTGAAATAACTGGTTACTTGTTGATGATAATTTAAAGTTGTTCAATGATGATATATAGTACACTTGACCCCGATATATGTTCTTATGGGAATTAAATGGGAGCTTAAGCATAACTTGATAATACTTGAGAATAAAAGCTTGACCTATTAAAATGCTAACTCGCAGAAACTTGAGTCTATCCTTTTTGAGCTTCATAACCCCATGTTATCTTGCTAAGTACGGAATGTACTTACACTTGTTTATTTTCTTTACATGGATAAAAATCCCGGATGGGTAACAGATGACAACGGGTATGAGGATTTCCCGGAGGATTATTAGGCTTGTGGTCAACCAGTTGACCTTCCCTGTGATGACGGCCATGAGAGTTTTATTATCTTTTTAGTATTCCGCTGTGATGTATAAGACTAAGTTTTATTATAACTCTGATGTATGAGACACCGTGATGATACTTTATGTAATTTGTCAGCTTGTGTGTGTGATTGATTCCTGGGCACACACGAGTTTTGTGCATTCAATTTTATCCTTAAAATTGGGTGTGACAACCCAAGTGAAGACAACAAGCCTCATGGTTGAAGGTAATATGGGTAAATTTGAAAGTCAGAACAGTTTGTTCTAATCCGGAGGAGAATTCTTATTTGAACGCATGTGTACTTTTGAGGAGTAAAAATATTGTAGCAACTCCTGATCCATTGCTAAGTTTGGCATTGCTTAGGGATGACCAAAGGTTAAGCTTAGGGGAGTTTATTGACGGTAGTTACCATTCATCATGAACCGTCAACATAACTTAAAATCATGCATGAAAATGATCACCAACATAGACTTAGGGGTTTAAATTGACAATTTTCACGAGTTTTGGTGAACCTGTGTTTTCAGTATGGTTTATTCAGAAAACCATCAAGGTGGATCAAATCGTCAAATTAAATCGCAATTATCCACGACAAAAATATCATCAAAAGGTTCCAGAAGACACTGGAAGGCACTCCACCAAAGTGGGGATCGAGAGGCTTCTAGGTGGGGTCGGCCGATCCCCTAGGCCCACCAGTCAGCCTCCATTTCGATGTCGGTTCCTCCACCGCCTCCTAGATATACCAGCCCCTGCCCCCCTCCCTCGGAGGAATTGCATAAGTCAAGATCAGAGCAGAAATTAGGGTTTCCAGAGAAGAGAATAGAGTTTCAATTCTTCAAAGTGCTAGTATAGGCTAGCTAGCAAGATTTAAGTAGAGTTGGACTATTGCTCAAGATTCCGGATTCGCCGTCTAGAGGCTGGTAAAGCCATTGTATCTCTCTTTATTTTATGACTTTGTGCTACTTCAATACTATGTTTCTATTTATTATGTTCCTAGTTTGCTCTAGTTATATGCTTGATATAGTTATATGCATACGTTCGCAAAGCGCTTACCTCAGTACTCGAGTGAGTTAAGTGGTCGACATTATGTAAGCGTGGTACTTAAATATTGTTTACCTGCGGATGCACTCTACACTTCGACCCATGTGGTAGATCGCGAGTGTAACACTCTCATTGAGTCCTTTGTAGTCCACTACCCGTTTGTAGAACAAGTAGAACTCGGTTGCGAAGGGAGTCAAGCTCTGTTCTTAATCTTCCTTAGTAATGTTCCTTATGCATAGATACAGAGCTAATTATACTATAGATGAGAGTGTATATACTTGGGTGTACATAAGACTTAGTAAATAAGGAATGACCTAGTAATCTTTTGCTTTTAATTAATCTCCTGCCTAGCCATTCTATATTTATGAGTATATATTCCTATCTCTGGATTAATATCAATGTCTTGCACTTATCATTTATTTATCATTTGAATTACCCCTACTATAGCATGAGAGTTAATGATCTTGTCATAAGTATGCATATTTATCAATATCTCCAACCACCCCATCGCTCCTCCCTGTGGATAAAATATAAATAACGATACTTGGCATACTCCCGGGTAAAATGCTACAATGGTATATTATCTGTGTTCTAGCGGATTACTTAATATATATATATATATAAGTGTTCTCAATAATTACCAACAACAACGTATTTCTGGTATCATTGCTATAGATGCTAAGAAATACCAATAGTGCACTAGGTCTAAAATGGATATGCAAGTTTTCCAACATCTAGTGGCACTAGATGAGCTCCCCTCTTAATAGTATGACCATCTATCCTAAATGTCATCACACTCTCTCTAAGTGTCTTGATCACCAAAATAAAATGACCCTATAGATATCACCTTTGCCTTGAGCCCATCTTGTTTTTCTCTTTCTTCTTTTTCCAAAGGCCAGAGCTTGATCATCACATGTGTCCACACCATCACCATGATCTTCATTTCATGTGGCCATCTCCATCCATGAGTGCTACTTAGCTCCATCACTTGAGTTGGACCAACCTATCTCAAATCCACACTTAGAGCATAGGTTAGTCCAAATAGGTTTCATCAATTATCCAAAACCAAACTAGGGCTTTCAAATATCCATATGAAACAACTGCAACATACCTTTAAAACATCTGAAACACTTGGAACATATATTTGCAACATAGGGGATGGGAAGCGCCTGTGCCGGCCAATTCCAGCCGTCGGGGTGGGAGCTGGCAACGAGTGGTGGCACGCGAGCACCACTAGCATCTAGCTCCAACGGCGTGCGCTAGCACCACCACCACCAGCGCCACCAGAACCGGGCTCGTCCGGGCAGGGGGTGTACGCAGTGAGCATGGGCAAAGCCAGAGATTTTAACCACCGGGACCAGCAAATAATAATCATGCTTAATGTATCATTTTTCTTATGAAAGTAGGAGTATGGCAGTGAAATTTCTTGAAAGTCATCGGGGTCCTCTGACCCTGATAACAAGCTATAGATTCGCCCCTAGCAACGGGCAGAGCGAGCACCACCACCACCAGCGCGCGCGACTGGAGAGGCGCACGTGACGGAGTCAAGCGAGCGGCGGTGGCGGCAGGGAGAGGAGTGCATGTCCGCATCCAGGATGGGACAGCCACAAGGCATTGCGGCAGGGGTGGAGGAAGCGAAAAGAATAAAGATGGGTGATTTTTTTTAATAAACTCACGGACAGAGCGAGCGGTGGGGCTAAAAGCGCAAGCTAGGAGATGGTGGGCTTGCGGCCGACAATTTTTGCTCACGTCGGACGTAAAATGAGTAGCATTACCGTATCATGATCGTCATACTTCACCCTCAAGGAAACAACAGTGCTGTCTTTTAAAACCGAGACGGACCGTCCCAGTCCCAGCCCACCTCGACCAATCACAACCTATATGGCGGCGAGACCCAATCGGCGGAGGCCGCTATGCCTGACCGACCTCCCCGACGAGGTGGTCCTTGAGATCCTCCTTCGCCTCGATATCCGCGACGCCGTCCGCACCTCCACGCTCTCCCTCGCGTGGCGCCACCGCTGGCGTCATCTCCCTGTCCTCGACTTCAAACGCTGCTCCTTCGGCCGCCTCGGCGTGGTATCCGCCACCCAGTCCGTCCTCCTGCGCCACCATGCCCAGGTGAAAGAATTCGCCCTCGATGGGCGTTCACCGCCGCTTCCCGAGGCCGACCACTGCACCCGCGCCTCGACGACCTCCTCATCCACCTCTCGCCTCCTCGTCATGCCCTCAACGGACTCGCCCTTAACCTCCAGTCTTACAAGCTCCACTCCTCCATCTTCTCCTTCATCAAGCTCGAGTACCTCGACCTTAAAGGTTGTCTGCTCCCAGACTCTACCCCAGGTTTAGTGGCTTCACTCCCACTCGTCCATCTCATATGGCTTCGTGTGCATTACACGCGGGCTCAGTTTCACGCGCTCGCGGCTCTGATTTCTGGTTGCCTGGGGCCAAAGCAATTGGCAGTAATTGTCGCCCCAGGGGTGGCTGGTGTGACCCTAAAGATTGCTGCACCTCTCCTTCGCCATTTGGAGATTAGAGCAAGGTCCGCTAATTGGATAGTGGAGTTTCAGAGTCTGCTTCCCGATCTTCCTCGCGCCAAGCTTGTGCTGCCGTTTTACCGCTATGCTCAGGAAGGGGGGTCGAAGCTTCTGTATATTTTACAGGGCATTTCGCGGGTGGAAGCGCTGGAGTTGCTTGATGGTAGTCCCTTGGTAAGAAGATAAATAGATAATGATTGCTTCTCACATGCTTGTTATTTGCCCTGATAAAGAAGTTTCCTACCATTGAATTCTAATCCATGCTCACAATATTAAGGTTTGTTTAGAAATTTGAATTGCCATGAGAGCCTGGTGTATTCAGTATTCTCACCAAAGTTTTTATTTCCTTTAATCACAAATAAAGCTCATTCAGGTTTGTCCGAAGTCAAACAATATTTATATTTGACCATCTATGCCCAAAATTGACAACACTATTGGTGCTACCAGATTTATCATGAAAAAAAACTTTCATCACATATAACTCTTTGTATTAAGATAATGTTTTTATTAATATTGCTAACAAGCTGAGCCTATTTTCTGTGTTAATATATTTGTTTCATGAATATGTACACAGATGTAGTTCTCTATTTTCAAAAAAAAAAGATACTACTTTTCCCTTTGAAGTTTTTTTTTTTTGAGTTTGTACTCTTGCTCAAGGGGGATATTCTAGAATAAGGACATACAGCTTATATCTTTATCTTTTTTTGTACTGTTCCATTTTCTGCTGTTGGAGCAACCTCGGACTTCTCAAATATAGGATCCTTTTTCATCTATCTGACATGTTTTTCCATATTTGTTGTCCTCTCTAGGTTGATTTTCAAGCTATGGTGCCATTCAAAATCCCAACTAAATTTGAGAACTTGCAATATTTAACAACAGATGCTGATCTGGGTGATGCAGTACATATTGTTTTCATTTTTGAGTTCTTAAGATGTTGTCCAAACCTAATTAAGGGTGCTTAAGATTAAGGTAAACCTAATATCTGTTATGAGCTTCTTCTCTTCGTTTTTGTTATTACTTCACTAATTTCCATATGGAAAACAGTTCCCTATTTCAAGGCATGGTTTTCATCATCATTTTGAAGAAACCCAAGAATTTTGGAATACACATGGGTATGTGAGATTTGTTTCGGTGTCTGCGCATTATGGAATTGATCGATGTGTACCTGTCATACAATGAGCTGCAATTCATAAAGTTGGTTTTATCAAAAGCTCAAGTGCTAGAAAACTTCACTATTGTTCACCGCGGTGAGAATGATAGTTCCAGCTTGGAAGCTTGCATTGAAATTCTGAAGTTTAAGAGACTATCAAAGGGAGCTCAAATTAAGTTCAAGGTCGCATCGGGACATTAAGTGGTAAGTTCCCAGTGAGTATGGTGGGTTGCTCTGTATCTGTTCCCTGAAAAATGAAGAGCTTTTCTATATTACCAGGTCAACTGTTGATTGTTAGCATGACATATTCTAGATCTGTACAACTATTTAGTATCATACTATCATCTGCTTCCAAATGCCGTTGCAACGTTATCTAACATTGTGGCATATCTTAGAACCATGACATGATAAACAAATGGAATGTCTAAATAGAGAACCTTTCTATCTGGTCATAGAGGGAAAGTTCCCCAACTTTCCTAATATGAAGAAAAAAAAACTGTCCTGCTACCTTTAAGGATGAAAACGGATGGAAATGGTCGAAAAACCCCTCAACCGTTTTCTACTTTTACATTTGAATACGAAAACGAAATCGAAAACGGTAAAGCCGGACACGAAAATGAACGCGAACTTACGGAAAATCGAGTATTTCGAAAACGAACCAATTCGAGCGGAATTATGTCGAACACGGTCGGTATACGAAAAATAAATACAGAATACCGCCCCGTAGTACCAAGTGCATAACAATTAACAATAGTTCATATACAATTCACATTGTTTTTTTTTTGAAAGTTGAGTTGCATTGTCATAGCTTACATAGCTTATGCATACCTAAGCCAATATTTTTTGAGCACGAGATATTAGACTTATACATACAAAAATCATACAAAAAAATAAAAAAGAAAATGTGGTGGTAAATATAAAATAATTAAACTTGACCGAGCACCAAGCAGGCAGCATACTCGGCTGTTGTGTGCTTCATTGGCTTCGGCCAACCACATTGGGCCCGTGCGGATGGGGACTCAGACTAAGCAAGTATAAGCAGTGTGTGTGAGTATGCTAGTTTTTTAGTACCACCTCGACGTCCCAACCAGCGACAAGGCAGCAAGCTGCTTATATATGACGCCGCAACACCAGTGAGGGAGGGCACAATCACACTGCAGCTGGGTTATGCTGAGGCCTGAGGGCACAATCAGTGAGTGGACTGGGCTGTCTGTAGTGGACCAAATTCGGTTTTGTATTTGGGATATTTTTGAATTAAAAGTAGAAAAGTAGAAAACGTTCGAAAATGTCTAAACCGATTTCGATCTGATTTCGAATTTGGTGTTCTGAATTTTGAACCGAATTCGAATTTGTCCAAAAAAAGCGGATCTGATCGGATTAAATAAAGAAAACGATGCGGTTCGGTTCGGGATATTTCTGTTCTGTTTTCTACCTGTTCCATGCACCAATTATATCTCTTCTCTGCAAGTTGGATTTTGAAAACGAGAAGGATGTAATTTTTCTAGTTTATGGATGTAACTTGATGACGTAACATGTGGTTGCTAGGTTGTAACATTCTTCCTAGCTTACGCAACTTTTGGGGGTATAGAATGTAACTTTTTAAGCATTGTAAGTTGTTTTTTTTTCAAACTGCTTTTTACATATCCTTAGTTAAATTTATCTACTTCCAAAGCACAGGATATAACTTGTGGATAGTTGGAAGTAACATTTGGTCAGTAGGGTCAAGTCTGATTCAAGAATCAACGATATCCACATGCACTCACCTGCCACTCTGCCAATCAACATACTCCATTCTAGGCATACTAAAGCTTTGCCTTCCATGCATGGTTCCACTACTGCCACTGGATAGTACACAATACAGTAAGAACATAACCCCTGCCATCCTGAGCAATATCAATGCTATCCTTCCCTGAATCTTCCTGGTAAGGAGAATCTACATTGGTTAACACCATCCTTTATGGCGGTTCACATTTTTCCTATCACACCATGGCCAATGCATCTACTAACACTCCTACAATTCTCTTTTTCCCCTCACCAAGTTTCCCATTTCCTTTTTTCATTTTCTGATGAACAGCATGATCTAATTATCTCTGTTATTCACTGGAAACTGAACGGAGCCTTTAATAGTTTGTCATCTGGACAGCATCTAGTAATACTTCGTTCTCCTACTCCACAAACATTACGTTTGTCATCTGCAGGAGGTATTATCCAATGACGATTCTTCTAGGTAGGCAAACCATTGCAAGCAAGACACCATGTAAACACCTTGACTTTCTGATGTACATCAATGGACCATATAGTATTCCATATTTTCCGATTTCCATCATCATTGTTACTATCTTGTGACCCCATTGCTCAAAGCAAGCTTGTGGGCACTGTGAACAGCATGGTTTTAAGTTGCTGCCTATGCAATGAGGGGCTAGGTGCAGTGGACAGATGGGCTAACTGAGTTGCAAGGACTGGCTGATCTAAGAATGGCAATGGCCCATATATCTTCTAGGGACAATTGGCCACAGGACATGCCAAATGAGCACCGACGGCTGGTGGACAACGCAAATGCGCCAATTTGCTGCTGGCCACTGTGTTTCCACTTTGAGTTGCCAGAAGACACCGCGCCCCGGTTTGAGCCAAGAGAGGAGAGAGAAATATTCATTTTGGACATGTGGTGCCCTCGAGCCAAAACGGCAACCTGGTCTGGTTCGACCACATTTAACCGGTCCGACCCGGCAGTTAGGGTATCGACGCCCTCCCGCCTTCCCTCTCTTCCCCATCCCCTTCTCCAAGTCGGTGGCTGTGGCGATTTGGTTGACGGCGGCGGTGGCGCAGGCTTGGCGGGCGCGGGATTGTCAAGTGGGCCGGTGGGGGCAAGCAGAGGCCTGAAGATGGCGACGGGCTCCGGCGCTTCCTCCTCGACAGGTTCGCGCGGACCGAGTCGACAGCCGTCGACGGGTGGGCAGCCGCTGTGCCCTTTCTGCCGGACGGCCACCATTGTGGACCGGACCTCCAGAACCACAAACAACCTAGATAAGCAGTTCTACACTTGCAAGAATCGGGACTGGGTGAGTTTTTTGTACTTCATGTTGTTCATTTTCGTCAATGCCAACTCCAGATCTAGGGTTCATCCGAAATCTCTGCTTGAATAGGGCAACAGCAAGTGCGCTTTCTTCATGTGGAAGCCGGTGAGTGATGGCGTCGATGCTGCATCATTGATGGCCGGAGTCCAGGCATTGGAGAAGTCTCTGTTGGCCCTAGGCAATTCTGTTGAAGCTCAGAGTCTCCATGTCAGTAGAATAGCTGGGCAGCAGAGAGTGGATAGGTGGTTGAATGTGGCCAGTGTGTTTGTAGGAGTTGTGTGCTTTGTTGTCTTGTGCAGTTGTCTTGTGCATCTTAATGCAGAAGCAAGATTAACTTTGTAATGGCTTGAGAAATGAATGGAAGACAGTTATCTTGCAATCCCAAGTTTAATATATTTTCAAAGAGCAAGTGACATCAACAAGGAAACTGAGCCTCAAATGGCCATAATACAATACCAAGTGTCATAATACAATACCAGTCCAAGTGGAGCCTCATATGGCCACAATACAATACCAGTTTACACATTACATAGTTCATTTGCCAGAATTCAATACCAGGTGTCATACATAACCCAGACCAAGTTTATATGGCCATAGCATCCTTAAACTGACAGAGAAGTTCACAAAATCACATAAATCCATCATAAAGAGGAAGCCATGTTGCTTGCACACTCCTAGACTTCCATCAACCTCTTCTTGCTCCTAGTGCTAGCACTGGGACTTGCTGATGATGTACTTTGGCTCCTTGTCACTGCTCCTTGGCTGGCCTGCTTCCTTGTCACCGGGGAGTTTGAAACCCTGCACAGTTATACACATGTTAACATGTAGTCCCTAAACTAACATAAAAACTAAAGGTAACAGATGGATCACATACTATTTAGCAGGTGTGGGCTCTGCAGGTGTGGGCTCTGCAGCTATGGGCTCTGCAGCTGTAGGAGTTGCCTTCTTTTTCTTGTTGGGTTGTTTCCCCTTGGTGGAGGCCTTCCTCTTCTTCTTAGTACAAGGATCTTTTGGGTTTTCTGTAACCCTGATCACTTTTGGCTTGGAAGTCCTCTTCCTCTTCTTGGATGGATCTTCCGTGGTTTCTATGATCTCCACCACTTTTGGCTTGTAAGTCCTCCTCCTCTTTGGTGGTGCAGGTGGTGGGGCATCAGGATCATGGACAGTTTCATTGCAGGTTTTCTATAGGTGACCAAATCCACCACACCTTTTACACCTTCTCTTGCCTCTACTGCTTGTCCCACCTTCTTCAGAGCCAACTATCCTTCTCTTTCTTGGCCTACCTGCTGCTCTATAGCATAAAGGAGGAAGTAGCTTGAAGCCAAGGTCCACCTTCTCCCATTCTTCCTTGTTTGGCATTGGAGGCACAGCAGATGCATATGCTGCTATGAACTTCTGCACAGAGTAGTAAGGGTGCACAAAATCCTCCAATAGGACCCTTCTTGTGCCAAAGACTCCATAGGCCACTGGGAACATCCAGTTATGGCCATCAACACCTATAGCTGAAGCTAACTGACCCTTCCACCTTGCTGTCAAAACTGTAGAATCAATCCCTAGGTACGGTCTACAACCATTAAGGAAGTCATCAATGCATGGCTTCAGTGCTACAAACATCCTACAAAACCTTCTCTTCTCATTCACAAGCTCCCATTCAATCTCTACAACACTACCAGGACACCTCTTCTCAACCTCCCTCTTCCAAGAAAACACATGGACAAAGCTGTCCTCCCATCCACCTAAAATCTCATCTAATGCCATTTGCCTGCCGTCCCAAACAACGTACTTGCTCACCTTGATGTTGTACTTCTCCTCCAACTGTTTCCTTAGAGCTTTAGGCTGAATAGTTGGGTCCTCCCTTAGCCAATTGATAACTCTGTCCTTCACCCAATGATTGGTAGCCATGCAATTCTTTTCTAAATTCCCTGTGCCGGCACATCTGTGCTTGTGTGGCATCTTCTTAATCTGCAACCATCAAAGAATGAAGGTAATGAAATAATATAGAGTTAGTGAAACAGCTACATCAATGAAACATGGCATAAACAAGTAATGAAAAAGTGCATACCTGCCATGTCTTCCCATCTGATAACTGAGATGCATGAATCCTCCACCTACACCTCTCTGCCTTACAGTAAGCTCGGTACCGCCTTGACTCGCTATAAGGAACTGCAAGTTCAACTTCATTAAGCACAACATATTGCCTAATACACCTCTTAAAACATAAACCATCTTCAAAAGTAACACCAACTACTATTTTAGGGTTATCTACGTCAGTGACATGCAGCACACTCTCACAGCCCCTCTCATCATCCACCTCTAGTGGGTCATCATCCTCTGGGTCAGTGTTAGGATAGTAAGAACAATCCTCTTGACCATCATCATTGAGCTCATCATGGTACTTCTCTTTCTCATCATCCACTCCTATATACTAAACCTCATCCTTCTCTCCCCAGTCATCATTCTCATCATCCTGGGCATCAGCACTCTCATCACTCTCATCACTCTCATCATGGTCAGCAATGTCATCAGCCTCAAACTCTACAGTGTCATGAGCATTAACATCTGTAGTGTCATCGTGCCTCGATATTTCCGAAGGACACTCAGCAGAGGGAGGAGCTTGTAAATTATCGTGGTAAATCACATCTAAAGGCATAGCAACTTCAACATTTTCATCATCGCTAAAGATTATCATGCTCAACAGAGATTAGCATGTTTGAACAGATTAGCATCAACACGAGCCGTGTTCCAAGGAGTTGTGTCAATAACATCTACAGCTTAGTGGCGCCTTCCTACTATCCCAATAAACATCAAATGCATGCAAAGAGAGCACTATCGAATTTATGTGGACTGTCTCATTCTTGGTTGTGTCAAAGAAGGAGACATGGAGATCTTGATCCTGACCATGAACTATCTCCTCACCGAGCAGCTGACGAAAACCCATCCAGTTGAAAATATCCTTATCCACCACACGCATGTAACTCTGAGTAACATGATAGTCACCGAGCCCATCCGGTCTTTGCTCTACATAAGTAGGAACTCTAATCGCCAATCTACACGCTGAGCTCGGATCCATGCTAAATCAAAACAAAGTGAAACCAAAATCAACTCTAATCTAAATCTGCCACGTTTCTAACGCATCCGTAGGCAAACAAATTGATCAACAAGCAGAGAAGATAGATATCATACCCTTTTTGAAGCCATTTCAATTGAGAAACCCTAGGCGGAGACCCAGGGCACTGCGCGGTCTTCCGGGTTGGGGACGGCATCTTCGGGTTCCTGATGGGGGACGACATCCTCCTCAACTCCACATGGCGAATGACGCCTTCGGCTCGAGGTATAAGCGGCGGGGCTCAATGGATTGGACGGCGGCGCGGCGATGAACAATGGAGTGAACGGCGGCGGCGGGCGAGAAGGGGATGGGGAAGAGAGGGAAGGCGGGAGGGCGTCGATACCCTAACTGCCGGGTCGGGCCGGTTAAATGTGGTCGAACCAGACCAGGTTGCCGTTTTGGCTCGAGGGCACCACATGTCCAAAATGAATATTTCTCTCTCCTCTCTTGGCTCAAACCGGGGCGCGGTGTCTTCTAGCAACTCAAAGTGCAAACACAGTGGCCAGCAGCAAATTGGCGCATTTGCGGTGTCCACCAGCCGTCGGTGCTCATTTGGCATGTCCTGTGGCCAATTGTCCCTATCTTCTAACATTTTTCTGATGTATACAGGCACACATGGTGTCACCTAGGCATCCATCCACGTAAATCACCTAGGCGATGAGGCATATCCATGGCACTATACCTTGCCTTACTGCCTTGGAACACTGGCACGCTGTAAAAATTCCTATCTTCTCATAAATGTCTGGCTAAAATTGTAAAATACCATCTTGCACCTGATCAGGTAAAAAATTGTTTAGAACCTTTGTCAAATCATAACGGTAGCAAATATTTCAGATAAGATTTTCGTGGCATTCATGACCATCATTTTTTATAAGCTGTGACACCCATCTCAAACCTGCTTCAGGTTTTACTTGGCTAAATTTGTCGTGATGGCTGTCATGGAATCCAGTTGTTTCTTCAAATTTGAAATTTGCTGCATGAACCAACTCTCCAAACTAGTCATTTCTTCAATAGCTCAAGCACATGTTCAATGCAGAGATACTTGTGACCTGAACACGATATCAGTTGGTTCATCTGCTTGGTAGTATTTAGTCTTTAACAATCTTGTACGCCCACTCTCACTACTAGATTCAGGCGCTTTGCCGAGTGTATTTGGGGCTTTGCCGAGTGCCGCACTCGGCAAAGGCCACTCGGAAAAAAATGGCCAGCAAAGCAGTCTTTGCCGAGAACCATTTTTCGGGCACTCGGCAAAGCTTTTGCCGAGTGCTGAGCCAGCCCTCGGCAAAGAAAACGAGCGGTCACGGCCCAGGAAACGGTGACGGCGGCTTTGCCGAGTGCCAACCCGAACGGCACTCGGCAAAGTTTTTTGTTTTTATTTTTTTTAATTCTTTCTTTGCCGAGCGCCGCTCGGGATGACACTCGGCAAAGTTTTTTTTTGTTTAAAAATTTCTTTGCCGAGCACCGGACGGGTGGCACTCGGCAAAGTTTTTAATTTTTTTAAAAAAATCTTTGCCGAGTGCTATGGTCATGGCACTCCGCAAAGCTGAGAAACGGGTTGCTACTTTTTCCAGCTTTGCCGAGTGCAGTGATTATTGCACTCGGCAAACTGACTAAAAACAGTGTTTTTTTCATTTTTTACATTCCATCACGACAAACACAAATTATCACATATATCTCACATCCATCCAAACATGCATCACATATTTATCACATCCATCGCATATATCACATTCATCACATATATCGCATACATCAATCCAAACATCTATCGCATATATCACAGTTATCCAAATATACCACTAGTGCATGACAAGTATATCAGAAATCCATCACCAAGTGAACAACAAATGCAAATACAACTAATGCTACTCATTAGAAAGGTGGAAACTGAGTGCCTGGTGAAGGAAAAGCTGGATCAGTCAGAGGCGCATGAGTTGGATTATTTGAACCCTCCGACTGAGGCTGCACAAAGGAGAAGACATTGCATGTGTTAAACAAGATTACTTGGATAGCTAATCTAGGTCATACAAGCAAAGCACAAGCAAAAACTCACAGGAGTAGCTACAACTGCAGGAGTCGGAGGTGGAGCGAACAGCCCAGGTGGCACAGCTAGACCCGTATGTTGCCCAAGAGTCTGCATGAACTGCATCATTTCCGCCATCCTCTGCGCCTAGGCCTCTCGCGCAGCCCGCTAGGACTGTAGCTGGGCCGCCAGGTCCTAACATTGCCTTGCTTC